TTAATTATCAAGATCTTATGATTCCGCACAAGCCAATCGTTTAAACGAGAACCTACACAACACGTTATTAAACCTTCACATAGTTTTAGCATGTGGTTCATGTGTAGTGGAGGTCTAATGTGTATCGAGTTACATACCAAAGGAAATATGTGTTTCCTCTCCCCTATTTCTAAGTGAAAAGTATTAAACCCAATGATGGTAGTTTTAATCCCTATGTAATTGAATAATTTATTTTTAATTACAATTAATTATGTTTGGATATTCATTTGGAATTGGATTTCGATTTGAAATGAAAAAAAAAAGAAAATTATTATTTCCCTATTATTGTTACATATTACAAATAACAAAAAAAAAAAGATAATTCAGAAATACAGTACATCTTTTAAATTATTCCAATCATCTTTGTATGCAAATTTGACCCCATCATTTATGATTCTTTATTACTCTCTAGCATCTTGCAAAATTACTTCTTCATCTTCATGTGACATCTGGTTTCAGTAAGTTTCTTATTTCAGAATGGCGAACTTGAATTTTGTCAAGAGAAGGTCTCGGGATTCAAAGGATAAATTTTGGACCTTATTAGATGATGATAATGTTGGTTAAGTGATTTAGCCCTAGATTGTGTATTGGAGCCAAAAAGAGGTAAATTGGAAAAAGTGATATTTTAGACTTTTTGTGTGTATTAATGAATTAAATTCTGCAGGAGTTAAGTTAAAAGCAATTATATAGGATTGTGGGGCTTGTCAACACCTTCACCTGCATATAAAGATCACTGAAAACGAGTTTAAAACGAAGAAGTTATGATTGTTCGAAGCCGAAAACTGAAAATCTATGGAATTACACTAAAAGCATGAAGCGCTTCTTAAATGGGAACAGATCGCTTCCGACCTAGTGGATTGCTCGTTTTTCTTGGGCCTTTTGGACTATTTAAAGGCCATTAACCCCTTGGTTTTTTCATTTCTCATTCTCCATCATCCATAGAACATTCCTTTAGAGAAACACTAGCTTCCCCTGAGTGTAATAAGCTTGTTCTCTCTCCTTGAACCAGTTTTTGGTGCCTATTTGTGTATTTTAGTGAAGTTTGAAGATGAAGAAGATTTTTTGGTTACATGGATGGTGGTTTCAAGTGTAGATCCAATTTCGGACCATTATGAGTATAAGGTTCCAAACTTGCTCTTTGATTCATGAGATCTTGCTATTACTTGTTTCATGGACTTTTTGTCCCTTTTTAGTGGTGATTTTGGAGTTGAGATGACTCCAACACCTTTTAGGCTACAAAGATCATTATACGGACCATTTGGACTTGGAAAGTTGGTATATTGTGCATGTTTGTTAAGCCATGCAAGTTGCGTTGACATTTGAGGTCATTTTTTAGTTTAAAATTTAGATCTAGTTGGATGAGAGTGTCTTAATGGATGAAGTTGGAAACTTCATTTATTAATACACTGTTAAGGTTCAAATCTAGAAGTTTGCAGGATTGACTTAACGGATTAAGTTATTTTACATTATGCAATTGTTCTAGGCGCAATGCATTTTAGGGGTTGTCAGATATACGTATGTTCTAAGTCTGAAATCTTCAGTATTTTGTCATATAGTGGGTGTTGGGCGTCTGATGAGGCGTGGATCACCTGTTTGACCAGAGTTTGACTTTTTGACTAAGTTTGACTTTAGGTCAAACTTTAGGGTTTTAGATTATAGACCGAGGTTTGACCTTTTGATTATTGTTTAGGTGTTGTGTAGTACCAACCTTCACATTTCCTGCTAGTTATTGTGACTGTCTGCTTTATCTGTTAGGTGAGTTTTCTCACGATGCCATGTAAGACACATGGTGCTAGTGTATGTTTATTGTCTTTGTGACTCATACTTATATGCAGTGTTGTAAAACTCGCCGAGTTGGCCGATTACTCCTCCGAGTACTCGCTACTCGGCCCTTTACCGAGGCGAGTTGCAAAATCCCGAGTACTCCTCGACCGACCCCTTACTGAACTGAGAAATGTTGTAAAACCCGGTCAACTCGGTTATTAATATGTATAATATAATTAACTAATTATTATTTAACACACACATGTGATTATTAATATATATATATATATATATATATATATATATATATATATATATATATATATATATATATATATATATATATATATATATATATATATATATATATATATCTTAAATTTTCAGTAATTATTCACGAAGTGAGACCATTTTGTGTTTTTCAGTTTTTGTGTATTCACATGTATCTAATTTCGTTATATATTTCAATCAACTTATGATTTTAATATATATAATCTCCCTAAAAATATTTCTACATGAATTACCGAATCC